GGTGCATAGGACATGTGGTGACCACCACTCCCTGCTTTCAGCTTTGTGCTTTTTCCAGACTGTCTTTCATATTCCTTCCTTGCCTCAGCTTTCATCTGCCCCGTCTGCTTCTTTTCCTTGCTTTCATCTGAGGGATCACACATTCACGTCTTTACGGAGCCCAGGGGAAACAATACCTGCTTTGTTCGATCTGTCTTCACTCCAGTTCCTTCCCTTTACCTTGTTAAATACCAGGAAGGGCTCGCTTGAAAACTTTGTCCATTTAGCAGAGCTTGGCTTCACATCAACAACCCCAGGCTAACAGTGTTTATCAGGCGGCACAAGATCAATTCTGATTCCTGAACAGTTATCACTCTTCCTGTTGCGGCTGTGCTCCAACACTTTGAGAAGCTGGGAAACTTTATGCACAGGTGTTTGCAGGAGGCAGAAAGATTGATGTGTCCCTGAAGGTTTTACAACTGATTGTATCAGTCATAATGATCTCTGTTGTCTTGGGCGAAGGCTCCGTGTTTTCTTTGTTCCCACAATGTTGGTTGTAGTACCTGGGAGCCCGTTCAGTGCAGCCACAGATGCATGGTCTGCCTGGAGTCACATCGGTGTCCCAGCCTGGCTCCTGTGCTGGTACATCTCAGAGCTCTGCTGAGGCTGGTGGAGCCATGCACACACTTCCACTTACAAATGGACAATGCTGAAGTAAACATGCATTGCCCCAGTTCTCTACAGCAGTTGCCAGATCTGTATTTTCATTATCATTTCTATGCTTAGCCTGTCTGACAAGAATCACAAGAAGGAATCCCATGTCCTGCACAGTGAACCATCGCTGAACATCAGCCTAAGCCTTACCCTTCAGCAAGTCATCTAGCCAGATGCACGTGGAGGGCGAGGACCTGGTCAAGAAGCACGCTGGTTGACAGCTTATGGCAATCAATGGTGGAAAGCAGTCATTAAGCAACATCAATGATGTCTTTATGAGCAAATGAGGGCTGTTAAAGCAGGCATAGAAGATTATTGTCACAAGGGAGGAAGAAAAAAAGCCATTTCACTGATGAATCCAGCTCCAGCTGAGCAAGCTGGTGTGTGGCAGATGTCTATCTGTGTAGGGAGAGCTGGCTGTTGAGCACCCTCATCTCCCTCTTCTTTCCTTAAGGCAATGAGGTGGGGAAAGCGTGGACTGAAGAGAAGAAGGTGGAAAGACAGGCTCTTTCTCTTTTTCTGCTTTGGCTGCAAAGCAACATAATTTCTGAGTAGTTTGGGAAAACAGGTAGGAACATCATGAACAAGTAGGAACATCAGGAACAGCTGCTGTTGCAGCGCTGCCCTGTGTGGCACAGGGGCTGTGCCAAGGGACTAGTGCAAAAATGTCGTGTAAGGACAACTTAGCAGCCCTTCATGCAGTCCTTCATGCAGTACTTCAAAATAGGTTTCTACATAATCAAAAAAATGCTGCAGTCAGTACCTCACTGGCAGCCTTGGTAAGTCATGGGTGTACATAGCAGCTGAGGTCCTCTGCCACCATTGCAAGGTCTTTCTTGGTCAGCACTGGGAGGTGTTACGAAGGGACTTGGCACTGTGGAGACAGCAGTAGCTGTGGTCTGCAAACACATGCATCACCCGTGATCCCCTTGCTGGTATTGGCTTGGTAGCTTCCCTTTAGAGAGGAATCCGTTGAAAAGGGAAGGCAAAAAATGTACTGAACACATGCTACTGGGCCTCTCCTGTGCTGCAATCTCCAAAGGGTGTTCTTTGAGATATCTGGCTTCAAGAGGCAGGATCAAACATATTGCTGAAGGGAGTGATAGCCAAAACCACCAAGAACTTCCAAATGCCTTCAACCTGCAGTGTGTGGCATTGTTTAGAATGCACAGAAAGCTGAAATAGTGTGTAGGATACATTTATTTCCTCTTCTAAAATGAAGGGCAATGGCCTGAAGGGACAGAATAGTGGAGCAACACACTGTTTCCTTCTCATGTGATGTCTTGGTTCAGGAGGGTTTGTTTAGCACTTAGTCCTTTGCCTCGTGGTTTAAAAACAACAACAATGAAAGGAAAACAAGAAGAAATACTGATCAAGAAGCAGCTGGGTTGATAACCCGCAGATCAGCCAGATTATCATGGGCTCATCCCAAGCCATAGCTGGGATCTGAATGACTCCAACCCACCACAAATTGCTCCTACCACAAGGAGCACCAGATGCGGCCAACGTGCCGCAGCTGGGATGCACTGACCAGATGTGTTTGTTGTGACATGTGGTGGTTGTGACCACGCTGCCATAAGTGCAGATAACCGCACTCGAAAGGGGAAAAGCAGTCCTGCAGGGAGTGACGGTCAGCAGCAAGAAGTGGATGGTGCATCACCTTGCTGTCCCCTCAGCATCCAGGACCTGGTGGCATCAAAGTTCTTGTGTCTCACCTGCTTAAGGGTGAAGACAGGATAATGAAGACGCCCTTTTTTGCAACAGCAGCATGCTAGGGGGTTTGTTTCTAGACCAGTTTTCTAAGATGAATACTGCAGAAATAATTACTTTTCTCAAATTCCTTGAGCTGGCCTATTTAGCAGGACACAAAAGCTGCAACAGAGTCAGCACACCTTCTCATTATTTTTTATTTTTTGTTTCTGCATGGTCTCCAAGACAAGGGAGGAGAACCCCCGTATCCCCATCCAGGTTAATATTGGGGTGCTCTGATGATCTCTAAGGGAAGGTGGCAAAGTAAATACTCCAAGGGACAGCATTAACTTTTCCAAGCAAAGCTTCCCAGGGAAGATCCAGGCTCTGTTATACACATTTGGGCATGGGAAGTCTGCAGGTTTCTCTTCCTGATTGAAAGCAGATACTTTGTACTGCATATACTCAGGTACCATAGTTTTTAAAAAGAAAGGACCTTTTAGCAATGATTGCACCAACAAAATTTGGTATTCCCATTTTTATATTAAATCTTTTTTATTGAGATGATGTAATTACAGGCATTTTAAAAATTATTTGCAACTCACTGGCCCTGAGAATAGGCTTTTTTTTTGTTTGTTTTTGTTTTGTTACATTCATTTGATTCAGTCCCTTAACCCCACACCTTAAAAAAACAAAAAGCCACCATCAATAAAAAGACTAAAATTTTATTTAAAAAAAATCAGAAAAACAAAACAAAAAACCTCAAACTGATGCATTCTGGATTTGCACAGGGTTGCAGTCTGACAAAGAGATCTGGAGAATGCATACATGGATTGCATGCATGCACCTGGGGACGGTGGCAGCAGCGTAGTGTTCACAGGAAGGGCCTCAGTAGTGTTCTTGGGATGGAGAGGCAGTCAAAAAGTTTCCAATGTCAAGCCAGAAAACATTTTGTTGTGGAGCTGCAGCATGTCCTACCTGACTGCTTGTGCCTTGTTCAGCCTTGCAGCAAGCTGAAGGCAATGGAGGTCCCACCGAACTGTAAGGCATCGAGATCCTTTGCTGGGCATTTCTTGGGCTCTTTCTCCCTTTTCCTGCTTGTTATGGTTGGAAAGGCAGAAAGTTTGGCTTCTGTGCTGCTGGCAAATTCTACACTGGGAAATCAGAAGCTGGGGAGAAGAGGCAGGTGTCAGGGCTGGTGGAAAGATGATGTTGCCTTTGCTAAGCCCACACGGGCAGCCAGGTGTTCCTGAAGCTCAGCATGGGAACACTCTGGGCTCCACGGATCTGCCAGTGGGAAGTGAGGTAGAGGGGAATCCGCTTACTGCAGCCTGTTTTTATTCTTAGTTATTTTTATTTTGTAGTCATAGCTGATAAACTTGCTGACAAGACCCCAAGGAGCAGTTCACACCTTGCAGGTCCCTCACCACGTCCTGAGCCCCTGCAGCCTGTGCAGTTGCAGCATCACCCACACCTCTGGTACCCATGCTCCTCCCCACAGCACTAGGGGCAGGACCTGCCAGGATGCACCTCTGTGGGAACAGCCTGATCCAAACTGACCTGAACCTCCTGAGACCTACATCTGCAGTGGAGAAGTTGTCCCAAGATGTCCTTTGTGTGTGAACTGGAAGGTAGTTCCTGACAGTCAGCAAAAATAATCTTTTTCCTTTGACTTAGATTCTGCAGGTGCAAATGACTGCATTTTCGGTAAAGGTGAATATTTCCTGCACCAAATTTTCCCTACAAATTTTACCGATGGGGCGGCACGTGGAATTTCAGGATTCCTTGCTTTTTCTTGCCTTACACAGTGCTGAAGACAAACTTCTTGCTAGCATACATGGTGAGCATATGGGCTTACACTGATGGATTATCTCAAGTTCCCTATTTTTTGCTTTGTGCACCTTGACCATAACAAAATCATGTGGCTCAGAAAGCACTTTAAATAGAAGCTTCCTTTTTTTTTTTTTTTTTTTTTCCCAGCATCTCTTAACAGTAGCTGGAGCAGGAGAAAGAAAATAATGCAGTGCATGCAGGCACCAAAGCCCAAGCAGTAATGGACACGAATTGTTCAATGTAAACTGTGCTTCTTTCTACTGCTGAACATCCTAAGAAACAGCAAGAGACTTTCTTTACATTGACAGTTTGGTGTTGCCACTTCATCTATCATTCACAATATCCTCTGAGTTATTCTTTTGACCACCCCAGGAAAACACGTCCAAATTCCCTCCATGCTACATGTTAAGTGAGAGGACACACAGCACTTTCTTCACTCCAGCTCCTGAGGCACAGGTGAGTAAGCAAAGTGAGTAAGCAAGGTATCACCTTGGCCCCTTGGTTTCAAGGAACGCTTGGTTTCAGGCCTGTGAGCACCGGGATCCCTGTGTCTCACAGCTCATGAGCTCTAAGTACTTCAGTCATGGCAGTGACAGGTCATCTGCTCATCTTTCCTATGGACACTCCTGCATCTTTTCTTTTGAGGCAGAAAAAGTCAAGCACTTGGTGTGCTGGGACATATAACATCTTGACTATAATATAATAAAAAAATGTGGCTCGGAAAAGCTCAGGGAAAGATGTATGCTCCATTGTTCCTCATCAGATACTGGCTCTGAAAAATCTCTCCTCATTGTATGATGCCTATCTTTGCCCTTAACAAACCTTTTCCTTCTAAAGTTGCAACTCAATAAAGTCTTTTGTGAGCTTGGACTATTTCTATTTAAACATACAGGCCACTATTCATTGCCAAGTACTATTTTTTCTTTTTTTTTCTTTCTTTTTTTTTTTTTTTTTTTTCTGGATAGATTAACCTTCTTGTTAAGTATAGGGTAAGATCAAAAGTCATGTTAGTAGAATAGCTGATAGAAGTGCTATCATGGAAATCATGGAAATGTACCTTGCTTTTTTTGGTAGGAATGGATTAGATTAACCCACTTTTTTTTTTTTTTTTTTTTTTTCCCTTTTCTAGTATTCATGTTCCCATAAAGAGGTTCTCTGTTTTTAATGAACTGGTGTGGACTTGATTTCTTCCAAACGTCATGTGATTCCTGCAGTTTCTTTGTGTATCTTCTCCCTTTGCAAGTATCATTTCTGCTGCTAGGTATTCTTCCCACTAAAAGGCCCAGTGCTGGTGGATGGCTGGATACCTGGACACCAGACTTCCCTGACATGATGGACAGAGCAATGTGAAATGAAAAAGGCCAGTAGTTTCTCTAGTATCAGACATTAAAGGCTGCTGAGCTTCTGGCAACCAAATTAGGAGTGGCTTTTTGCCTCATGGAAAGCACCCTCATGATGCAAAACAAATCAGAGGTGTAAAAAACCGGGTACCTTGCAAAGAACAAAAACAAAACCCAAGAAAGAAACATTTATCTAGTGTTTTTGTTTGTTTGTTTGTTTGTGTTTTTTTTTTTTTTTTCTGGTCTTTTAAATCACGTTAAAAACAGGCAAGCTGAGACAAGATTCCTGGATGGCAAAGCTGTGGGGTGGGGAAGAGTTGTGAGAGGCATAAACAAACAAAGCCAAAATCAATTCCAAGGCATCAGTACAGCTATTTGGTCTCTAGTTCTCTACCACCAGTTTTTAGATTGGTGAATAATCTACCTCTCCAGTGGCACAAAGTGATCCTGGAGTAGTTTCTGAATAGTACAAACCATACATGTATGATGGATCCCTTTGCATTGTCCTTAAGATGTAAGGAACAGTCCTTCACCTTTCACCCCAAAATTGCTAGCAGGTATAAGAAAAAAACGTCCCTTTTGTAATCTCTGATGTTTCAGCCTTTACTTTTTTATCAAAGGCTTTGAGCTGAATTTCTGCTTTGTGCATATATTGTGGCGTTTACGTATAAACATATATATATATATGAAACGTTTCTCTCTATATACATATATATTTATATTAGTCCCTGCCCCTCTCCCCCCACGCCATTCTATCACTTCTTTGCTAGAAGGAGGGACAATGTCAACATCAGTCTATTGCAGAGGTTTGTCACATTTATTTTTCTCCTCCCTGGAGCACTTAGGTGATTGGTTTTGGTCCATATGCCAGCAGTAAATAGCCACTTGCAGGACTCATGAGCCCAAACTATGCTGGGATGCTATCCCAGCCAATACATGAAGGGTGATTCCTCTTCATTTGACAGACATGTGTGGTAAATTCTTTTGGTAGCTTCAACACATTTCCCAGTCGCAGCACATATGCATTGATCCAAGCAAACTGGAACCCTTGAGCAAATCCCTCCTGTGTTGCTATTGTATTATGCAGTGTTACATCATGAGACTTGCACAGAAAATAAGAGCGCTCTATTTCCATAGGAGAGCCTTCCCCCCAAAAAAAGCGTAATCTGATGTCTTGTCCTATGTGAGATAAGGAAAATCAAACTGCATGTTTATTAGGGGAAAAAAATAAATCAAACAAACAAAAAAAAAGAAAAACAACAAACAAAAAAAATGAAACCAAAAAGACAGAAAGAACTCAAGGGAGACTCTGTAGGAACAGTGAAGTAGTGCGTAAGTCCAGGCTTTCTCCCCTTCACTTTTCTGCCAGCACCACTTCTGCCTGTTAGTTTGTTTTGTTAAGGTGCTTCAGGTCCTGCATGGTCTTCAAGCTAAGTGGAGACCGCAAGTACTGCTTCTGTGTTGTTGCTTCCCCTCCCAAATTGTGCCAGCCATCCAGGCAGATGTTTCTCCCATGGACACACAGAGGCGGTGCACCAGTTCCCTTCAGCACTCATCTTCTTGGAATGATTGTTCATCCAGTTCCTGGGACTCAAGGTGCTCGAGGCGGTCTGTTCTGCCACTCATAATCTCATCTGGGGTCTTCATGAACCTGCAAAACAGAGAAACAAGTTGATTTCCCAGTGGTCTCAGCCTTTCTCCTTATCAAGATGCTGAGTCCCCTGACCTCTGCAGCTCCCCAGAATCATCTTTGCTGTATCCTCTGGTATGACTTGGTATTTCCCAGCTTTTCCCCAGCCTACCAGTATCTTTCCTCCCCATACATGGAAATGAAGTAAGAAAAATCACAAGCATTTTCTCCTGCTCCCTTTTTCTAAAGTCCAAATCTGAAACAAAACCCACAGTCTTTTCCAAAGAATGATATTTACTTCTTTTTCTTCATATTGTTTGCTGTTGCCATGTAAGATGACAGCATGCCACATGTCCACTCATTTACGGAATCTGGTGACAGAAATGTAAGTGATCTTTATTGTCAACATATTTCAAAGCAAATCACTTGTAAGGCATGGAGAGGCAGAAGGCTACTCATTTCTGCCAGCTTGTGTGCAGGTGAGTGAAGATGAATATGAAACACCAAAAGAGCAGGTCTGGAAAAAGCTAAGGACCAAGTCAGAACAAGCTCTGGGAAATGAAAAAAGCCCTGAGAGAAAAAGCTTTTGGGCTAAGCTTTAACTGGGAAAAGGGAACTGTGCACAAAGACAGTGTCTTCCTGTATGACTGTAGCCAAGTGTAATTGCAACGTAGCAGTGTCTTCTGTAAATAAATGCCACAGCACTAATGTCTTGATGCAGTAAATCTGCAGGGGGCTAGAAACAGAAACTGCCTCTGGGGAGGCATGGCAGCAGTAGGAAATGGGAAAGGACATCCACCAGCCTGCAGATCAGGTCTGCAGTCTTGATCTTTGCCAGGGTGCTTTTGTGTACCACTGCGTACGGACAGCACAGAAGAGCTCTGCTTTTTTCTTTCTGGATTTAATGGCACAGGAAGAGAAAATGGCACAGGAAGGATGAAATCCTAGTTTAAACACAAACCACTTTCCTAACTTGTAAGTACTTCTGGAAAAATCAGAATAGGACATGTTTATGCTGGAAGTGTTACAAAATTTTGTATTTTTTCATTAATTATGTACTGGCTAACATTCAGCAGTACAAAATGTGTTAATCAGAGGAATTTTACTTAGGTTGATGATATGCTCAGTATCCTGGCCCCAGCAAAAACAAAACCAACTGACAGGAGCCTCATTACTATCAGTGACCCAGAAAAATCACTGCTGAAGCTAACAGGCAAGATTTGCCTACTCTGCTGCCTCCAAGTTTATAAAGTTTAGGGTTTTCAGTTTGAAATACCCAGGGCCTCTCAGCAAATGCGTAGCACTGCCTGGAACTAACCTTTTGCCACCCCTTCTAATTTTGGAAATCATGTGCACATATGCATTTATGAAAAAGAAATCAGCTATGACTCACTTCTGTGTTACTCCCATTTGTATGCTGGAAGAACTGTGCCGATATAAATGGTGTTACGGTGCTCAAAAGCTAGCATACAAAAGTGGTGAATCAGTTCCTGGCTATCCAGTGAAAACTCACCAAAGCCTACAGGCCAGACTGTGCCCTGATTTAAACCCTGTGCTTGTCCTGTTGATCTTGAGTAAGGATGAAACCAAAATGGAACAATACCACTGTCCCCCTACCTTCTGTCTGTTCTGCTTCCTAAATCACATGGAAGATAGGCTGATAAGAACTGTACAGCATTACTTCAGGAATTCTTTCTGGTCTGTGTTTTAAGTCACGTCATGGAACTCAAAGTATTTGTAATAGCATTTGAATAAATTGAAAAGAAAAACCAACCAACCAAAACCAACCAAACCAAACCAAAACAAAAACCCTAAAAAACAAACAAACCAAAACCAAAAATCAACCAGACCAGAACTACCTGCCAACAAAGAAACAGTTTCTATGACTTCTTTTGTTGCAGAAGGCATTCTGCCCATTTATTAGAAGACCTCCTCTGAGTCCATTAAACTTAAAGCTCTGTATAGATATTTGCAGATGACAACTGCCTGCATGTTGCTTATAAAGTCACATTTCCTATTTTTTTCTGTGATTGCGAGAAATAGCCAAGAAAGGCATATTAATGGCTTGATTTTCTGCAGCTGTTCTTCTTTTTCTCTTCAGATATAAATAGGTCTAAGAAAACAACATTAATAAGTTCTTATTGGGAATTGTGCAAAAAAAGCTTTGTTCCCTTCCCCCCAGTTTCCAGAGGAAATGAGGTTTGTATGCTCATGTTTTATGCTGCCTGGTGACCTTTGAATCTGTTGGTCAATTCTGGGCAAATCTGACTGAGGAACTGAGGTCTCCAAGGGTATTAAGTTTCTACAGTTCTGAGAAAATAGGCAGCCTGGTTGAGGAGAGATGGACTCCTGTTTTGTTTGTGCTCCCACCAAAGGAAAAGCTCCAAGATAAGCACAGGCATTATTCAGCATCACAGAATTCCCCTGGGAAGTACAATCTTCACACAAGGCCACAACAACCCAGGCTCCTTTTGCTTTAACTTTAACTTTCTGCCAAAAAAATTGAAATAACACAGTTGATTTTGCCTGTGATTCCTTCTTCGCTTCATTATCCTTTCTCTGTCTTAAGTCTCTTTCTAAAATGGTATCAACAAGACATTCCACAGAAACCTCTTCAGGTAGTCTGAGTACTAATGCAGTTCTGTTAGACATTTAAGAAAACAAACTCCAAGACTGCCTTCCTATTGATATCATTTCCAAGAACATTACTGGATCAAGACCAGTAATCCAGACCAGATCCAAAGCAGCCTTTGGCCTGAGTTCAGCACTCTGTGGGTCAGACTTACGCTCTAGGATTCCCTGATCCTGCCTGCAGAGAACTGGAGTGCTCACACTCAGTGGTTCTGCCAGTTGCACTCAAGTTCATTCATTAACCCTCTGCTTTACACTGTTCAGGGTCGTATTTCCTAAATTCTCGGTTGTATCATCCTATCTGATGTTTTATGAGCAGCTCTTGCAGGTCTCTCTCTTCCTTGAAGGCACTGCTGCCAAAGACAAGTTCATCAGCACTTCTCTTCCGTGATGCTGATGCTCTCGAGGAAATGCCAGATTTCTGCTTAGCATTCACTAGCAGCTGTATCTGTAGGAGTTGAACATGGACTGGATTTTCTAGGAGTTTGGCTGAGATGACAAATCAGTTAGCTAAGGTCTTAAAAAATGGCACAGCCTGCTTGGAGTGAGTGAAAAGATTACTACTGACTCCACTGATCACTGAAGCAGGCTTGTATTTTTCTAAATTGATGCAGTTGTCTTGAAAGCTGGGAAGCACTGGTCTAGACAGCTTTTACAAATGCACGCCCATTGTCAATGATGTTAGAGCTGTGGCAATGAAGTATCACACAAAGAATTCCGTCTTCCATCTTCAAAAATGAATTGTCTGTAGAAAGGAATGGCAAAGAAAAGCAAAAATTACCTGAACAAAAGCCTTTGTCCTGGCTCCTTCCGGATAATATTTAGTTTGTAGTAGTGGCGTAGGGCTCTGGACATTTTCTCGTAAGTCATATTTGTTCTGTTCTGATTTTTTCAAAAGAAAAGGGAAAAATGTGTTAAGACGATTCATGAAAACGTTCCTAAACCCCCAAAGAAATTGCAGAGCTATCACAGGTAGCTAAAATAACCAAGCCAGTACAAGAAATTACACATTCTATTATTCTGCTGTTTGCAGCCCCATTCTGCCCCTCCAGCCCTCATCAGGAAAATTTTATGTGTCTCTTTTCATACAGTGCAATTTAAGCTAGAATGTCTACCAAGAATTCCAACTGAGGTTTTTCTACAGTTTCTTGGATCACACATAAATAAAGGCTTCAGCAACCACAAAAGGAGATACTAGATGGAGATGCTCATGCCACATGAGATGTGACAGGTCTGTTCTTAATGAACCCACCTTTTGTAAAAGCATAAGAACAGTGGCTAACAGACTGCATTTGTCAGCAATCCCTTCTAAGAGCGCTGTTCCTCTAGGAATCCCCTCCATTAACTAGTTAATGCTTACTGAGCACTGTGGAGATTGAGAGACTGTTTCTCCTCTCATTATAGGGGTGTAAATCAAGTGGTCCATTAGGTTGTATATGTGCCTCTGTGACAGAGCCTCCCCTTCATTTTGGGAACTGCTGACCCCACAGCCAGAGCACTGCAGAGTGACTGAGGCACGACCTCACTTCAGCCAAGTGTCACAAGGCAGCAGCAATGGGCATAGGCAGAGCTGCATGGGGCCCGCCATTACAGTACTTTCCTGGGTTGGGATAACAGGATCAATCCCTCAGGCTATGTCTGCACGATGACCATTTTTCTGGTACAAGAATCACTGGCTACCATGCAGGCAAAGAAACTCCAGCAGAAAGGGAACTACACTGGCAAAACCATGTTTGCATGAGTATTAAGAAGCCGCCTTGCCATAGGCAAAACAAGGCAAACTAGAAGAAGCATGTTTTTGTTCTGTGAGCCTTCATGTTAAGTGTTTGGCTTGGCACATCTCTGTCAATCCAAGATCAGGCAGAAGTCTATAGTGTTGACCTGCCTTTATTAAATGAGACTGATCTTCCTGTCCAAAATAGCCCCTAGTAACAGACCTCCATTGCTTGCCCTGACCTCTACTCTTCTTCTAAAGTATGAAGAGCTCCTGTGATAATTAAACACTAAGAATGACAATGTTTTATTTGAAAAATCTAGACTCTGCTCAATGGGAAGCCCCCTGAAATAGTTCTTGTGTTTTTTTTTTTCCATTTCTTATATGCTAAAAGGCCACTGTGTGTCCCAAGTGACTAATGTCTTGAAGTAGCTTCACTTTCAGACAGCCAACATGAGAAACACAGGGCCTAATTATCAGCATGTAGGTGAGGCAAGGGCAGTACTACTCTTCATTCACAGAACTCTTCATCCCATTCCCACTGCTGCAGCCCAAAACCTCTAGGAGAGATTTAATGTCACACACGAAAATCTTGACTGTATCAAGATGTATGCTCATACACAGAATAACAATATGGTTAAGGTTGGAAGGCACCTCTGGAGATCATCTAGTCCAATCTCTCTGCTCAAAGCAGGGACGACTAGAATGGGTTGCTCAGGTCTGTGTTCATTCCAGCTTTGAACATCTCCAAGAATCTCCAAGAATAGAGACTCCTATCTCTCTCTGGCCAACCCATTCCAGTGTCTGATCACCTTCCTAGTAAGAATGTTCCACACCTAGGGTCATTCCTCCCCAGGTGTGGAACTCTGCATTTCCCCTTGTGAGGTTTAATGAGATTTCCATTAACACACTTCTGCACAATGTCCAGGTCTCTCTGCAAGGCAGCACAATCCTGTGGTGTATCAACCACTCCTTCCAGTTTTGTATCATCTGAAAACTTGCTGGTGCATTCTGTCCCATCATTAATGAGCATGTTATATAGTAATCGCCCCAGAATCAATCCCTGGGATAATACCACTAGTGAGTGGACTTTGTGCTGTTGATCACAAGCCTTTCAGCCTAGCAGTTCAGACAGTTTTCAGTCTATTTCACTGTATTCTTGTCTTGTCCATAATTCATTAGTTTGCCTGACATTACAGGAGACACAGTCTCAAAAGCCTTTCTTAAGTCAAGATAACCAATATCTACTGTTCTCCCTGCATCCATCAAACTAGTCATTTCATTGTACAGGTTGCTCAGGTAAATCTATGTAAATCTATGCTGACTACTCATATACTCAATATGTCTATACTTATATGTATATACACATATAGATATGAGTATGTATCTGTACTCATATAGATAGATATACGTATACACACTCAGCCCCATACTGCAAATATTAGTAACTGCTTTCCAGCGAACAAAGAGCAACATCTTACAAGGAAATACATAATCCTACAGCATTTGATGTCTGTCACAGGGCAGCAGTCTCTCCTTTTGTGAAATCTGAACAGAAAGGAAGCTTCTGCTGAGGTGTAGTACACAGCTCTTTGTAGACCACATCTTACCAGAACAGCCTTAGCATCAGGTTTCAGGAATAAATGATTTGCCTTGAGAGAGAAGGACCGTTAATTCTTCTGCTCTTTGTAATTTTATAATTAGAAGTGTTTATAACTAAATGCCTTTAAACCAAACCAACAGGTTCTTCATGTGACGAGTAAGTTTTAGTACTTGAGGCCGGATGCTTTATATTTCTAATGTATGTACAATGCAAGCTTACGACCTTCCAGGAGTAGTTTATATGCATACGCTTCCCTTCCTTTCTCCCCTGTTTATAAGTAAATTTTGTGATGTTATGAAAGGTGATGTGCTGTAGGAGGAAAAATGCATTACTCCCTTACCTTGTGGTTTCCCCACAGCCGGGCCAGCCCGTTGGGATCCACTATCCGAAATATTTTGGATTCTTTATCTTCCCATCGGATGAAATTTTCGTACCGGCTGTCAGAAAGCAGCTGATAAACATAATCCCAAAGCAACCTACAGTCTGTGAAGAGAGAAGAAAGAAAATATTGATGATTTTCTTTGGAATTAATTCTGGGAACTTCAGGGTGGATTTATAGTGAAAGCACAGTGGGGAACAGGCCTGAAACTGCTACTGCAATCTGAAATGCAAATGACCTGGTTGGTATTGACTAATATTTGCAAAATGTACTGGAATATACACAGTCTTTTCTGATGTGTCCTGGTCCTTCTGACACTGACTGAGCATCTTTATCAAATTATAAACTGTGTGAAATGACCTGCCGATCTTTGTTGTGTTTACTGTTGCACTGACACACATAAAACTATCACAGTTAGCCCTGATAATGTTGCAGGCTGTTTCAGGGTGTAAATCAAGAATCCTGCATCCTGCTCTCCCTACTTGAGGTTGCCCCGTTCTGTGCCAGCTCAAGGGGTCTGAGGCATGGACAATGCTACATTTTTCCTTTGTAACAGAGGATTTCACTGTTAGAAATGACATAAAACTGACACCTTCTGCCATTTTTTAATTTGCTTTTTATTTTTTAAGGTTCCTGGAAAAAAAAAAAACACACAAGTATTATAATTACTTGAGTGCTATTGAGAGGTTAAATACTTTCTATTTGGATAATTGAATTCAAATTTCCTCTTGGCAAACACTCCTTAGGTCGCTAATTAAAGGTCTAACAGATACTTAGGTTTTAGTTTAGTGTTTTTCAGTTTCATGGCAGTCTCTTGAGACGGGGGAAGCCAAGAGCTGAGCTGCTTCTACTTCCTGCTTGCAATGTGTGTTGTGAGAAACACTCTGTAGTCAATAACATAGGCTAGTATCTCAATGAAGTAGCATTTTTATTCGCGATTACAATGGCAGGCATCCCACAAGCAGAAGCGCACCTACTAGTTCCATAACACAGATTATATACTTTTTTTTTCCCTCAATGACCGGGACCCTCCCGTTTCCCCACTGACTCGGTAATCCAGGTTCACAATCCATCTGGTGCTTCACATACATGGCTTTCAGTTGCTGGCCTGTTATAAGTCATATTTCTTTTGACTTTTACACTCTTTGAGGTGGTGATGTTTCTCATACAGTGATTTCCACCTAATTGCTCTAAGAATTCTGTTTGTCTGCATTTTACAGGGTTGTTTGTTAAGCTTTCTTATCTCTGCAAGCATATCTCAATACCACATTCCTTCCCTCTAAACAATGTAACTGTGCAAAACCAATATTTTTATTCCCACTATTCCCCCCTTTTCTTCTTTATAAATTGTTGATTTTTGCAAAACTTTTCTCTAAGATGTAATTTGGTAGATATCTTCCTCTTCTTCACTTTCTTTGCTTTCCATCTCCTCAATATCATCGTCTTATCTGAGTACGGTGGTGGATCCATGATCATTTGTTTCAGTAGTGCAGTTTCAGTTAACCACTGTACTAGTCCTCTTATGCAGGGGATAATGCAACAACCAAAGGGAGAAACTTACAGGCCTCATTTCCCCAGGCAGTCTTTTCTTGGTACAATGTAATCATACATCACATCCCCTGGGAGTCCTTGGTCCACCCCCATGGGAAGGGCACTATCTGGGCAATCGGTTGACCCAAGGCACAAGCATAGCAATTGCTATGCTTGACACTCTGGACAGTATATTTGACCCATTCTATCCAGCCATTCACATCTCCATATCCTGTTTCAATCTCAAATGTTTGCCTAAAATCTTTTATTTCTTTAACTGTGACAACTGCTGCATTTCAAAGAGGGCCTCCTGTTTTCTCCTCGAGTTTCTCCCTATCTTTGGTGGCAACAGAGGATCATTTCCATTTATCTATTTTCATCCTGGCTATTGGGTCTCTCCCAGTTACATCTGCTCTGAGACTGTAAGTATGGTTAGTAATGCAATCAGCCTGACTAATTGTTATAGTTACTGGATTACATTGTAGAAGCTGACAATTGGGCTGAATGGTTCCTTTAAATATGTTCTTTCTAATTTTATTTTTTATATACTTTTTTAACCTCATGAAGCCAACAGTTGACATGGGTGTATGCAACCACCCGTTATGATTGGTCATTCACCATACATTAGTCCATCTTGGGCAAGGGGGTCCTTCAAACATCCGGCTACTCTTAGGTTCAGGACAGAGACAGTTGTTCTCTCCACTCAATTGTCGATAGGCATTTAAATCTCCACAAGGTAACACCTCACAAGCAGCAACCTGGCAAACTGTGGTACATAACCCTCTGTCACATTCACCCATATTTTGTCAGGGTATCCCATCTTTGCTATTATCTGGTCATGCCTTTTCCAAGTTGCCAGTTAACCAAGGCCTTCTCTGAGGACTACAATCACTAGAAACAAAATCAATAGTTGATTTTTCCCTGATATTATTTTTAACCCTTAGGTTTCCAAATAATTATCAATACAAAGAATAAGATGTACACTACTACTAGAACACCTTAGGAGCACTTTGATTCCCTATAGACCAGGCCTTTCTCTCACTCACAAGTCACACTCATTAGTTACCTGTGAAAATAAAAGGTTAGTTTACAATTGTAAGCTTTTATCTTGCTCAGTCTATTATGAGATTTTTCTTTTTGATTTTAACTTTCAACAAGTCTTCTGTAGAAACAACGTCCCAGGTACTAGGGTTGATGGATGCTTTCACTTGAGTATAGTACGTCCAACTTTTTTCTGCAGTTCTTACACCTGTTTCAGTGGTTAGTAGTACTTGAAATGGTCCTTCCCATTCAGGCTGGAGTTTTGATTCTTTCCAGGTCCAAATCAGGACCCAATTTGCTGGTTGATGGTGAGGACGGGTTGAGGCAACAACCCATGGGTCCTGAGAGATGACAAAGAAGAAGACAACCCCAGGATACAGTTCTTAAGGGAGCTTTCGTTTTGAATTGTGGTATCTCATCCCTTCCGCCCAGATAGGGTAATCTGAACAGCATCTCATATTGTGAAATTCCTATATCCTTTCTTGGTGCTGTTTGAACCTGGAGGAGTGCTAAAGGTAAGCATTTTACCCAAAGAAGTTGGGTTTCTAACACTTATTTAGTTAATTGCTTCTTTAATGTCTCATTCATTTGCTCCACCTTTCCAGAAGAGGAGGGGTGTCAGGGGATGTGAAAATCCCACTCAGTCTCTAAGGCCTGCATTAACCCTTGCAGCACTTGTGAAGTGAAATGACTTCCTTGATCTAAATCAATGTTTTCAACTATCCCATATCTAGGGACTATTTGCTCCAGTAATACCTTAGCCACAGTGTTCGCAGTGGCAGATACCAAGGGGAGAGCTTACACCCATCCAGTCACGTGGTCAGTTAGTACAAACAAGTACCAAAGTCTCCCTACTTTAGGTAAAACAGTACAGTCTACCTGTATACTTTGGAAAGGTTGAATCCCTGGTTCCCATCTCTCTCTAGGTGTGTTACAGATGACCTTTTTATTTACCTTTTGACATATGGTACACCCTCTGCGTATTTGCTTCACTGAAGTGTATATTCCTACAGAGACATACTTTCTTAGCACAACATCACACATTGCTTGCACCTCCCTATGACTCTCTTGATGTAAAATGATTAATATTTGCCTCATTGGTGCTTTATTCAGCATTTCTCTCCCATCAGGGAGTATCCATTTTCATTCAGACTTCGTGGCTCTTGATTCCTTAAAAAAAAACTTTCTCTTAAAAACTTTTTAGTTTTTTCTTAGTTTTTAACAATTCCCTGGATTATCTCTGGATTTATTCTTCATTTTCCCTCAGACATTAGATGCCTTAAATACTTGACTTCTCTTTCTATATATTGTAATTTATTTTTCAATATTCCCAAGCCCTGCTTTCCCAGAAAGTTGAATAGTTTGTTAGTAGCTTCTTTCACAACTGTTTTCTCCTGTCCTGACAATAAAAGATCATCCACAGATTGTAATAGTAACACCTCCTCGTGAGGTTGGAAATGCTCCAAAATCTGTTCTAGAACTTGCCCCAAAAAATCGGTAGCCCTGTAAATCCCTGAGGTAAAACTGTACATCTGTATTGTTGCTTCTGCCCCCATTTCAGGGTCTTTCCAGTCAGAGGTGAAAATACCTTTGCTCTCAGAGCCTGAGAGTACTCCATTAATAACACTGTTATTCCAGTCTAACAATTTACTATTTGAATGCCCAATTTCATCATCAAATGCCAAAGTTAGTCCTAGTCTTGGGTACATAAAATAATTGCCCAGTGATCATCTTATCCTCTAGTCTCAGCTTGGTATCCCCTATTCTCCCACATGCATGGTGACAGGACAAAGGAGAATGGGCTAAAGTCACACCAGGGGAGGTTTAGGTTGGATATTAGGAAGAATTTCTTTACTGAAAGGGTTGTTAGGCCCCCTGGAAAGGCTCCTGGTGGATCAGGTTGTCCCCCTCCGCCCCCCGCTCCATCCCTCCCTGATACTTGGGAAACTGACCAAACACCACAGCAAATATACCAAAGCTTCTAGACTGTTACTTAGATCATGCCTACATCCTCTTTCCCTGCTCAATCAACTTCAAACAGTTCTATCAAACATTACATACCACACATTTAACACCTTCAGTAACCCTTTTTAACACTTCTTTTTATCTTTCTCCAACCTGTACTTTCACCAAAGCCTCTGCTGGGCCAACTTAATTCCTGGTATACTGCCAAGCACTTCACCATGCGAGGGGTACTGTACACCAGATTTCCCGAGACTCTTCCTTTCTCTCTCTTATCTCACACTTGACTAATGTCTGTCTCTGGCCATGCCCCTCGCGGAGCTACAGAACCATGGATCAGGACTCCACACTCGCTTCGTACAAAAGTATGTCTCAATCACACATCACACAGAGTCTCACCTGACCCCAAGGCAATCCTTAGTATTTCTTACCTTGGTCTGTGCACAGTTACCGGCTCAATTCTCAAACCCAGATCATTTTACAAGGTTGTCTGTTAAGCTTTCTTATCACTGCAAGCATATCTCAATACCAGATTCCTTCCCTCTAAACAAAGTAACTCTGTGCAAAAACA